CCTATAAGGAGGGGAATAGACACCAAAGCCTCCCCTTGCCAAGCCCCCGGTTTTTAGAGGTACACTGCCTCCGAACATGGAAGTTCCTTGTGGCCATCATGGTTGACTCCTATTGAGGGACCACTGCTCCATGAATTTGTTAGTCCCTTTTTAAGAATTTGGGTTATTTAAATATTCATACTTTACTCCCCAGCGGGGGGACCCACAACAACTAACAGGATAGTTCTCCAGGCCTCTATTTTATCCTCACAACAACTTTGTGAGGTAAATTAGGCTGAGAGAGACAGGCCCAAAATCACCCAGCGAGCATCGATAGTGGGGCAAGGATTCGAATATGAGTCTCCCAGATCCTGTTCCGACACGAAGCACTACACCATACTGCCTCTCAGCTACAGGCTTCCTATCTGCCTATGCTATTGCTGATCATGACACCATGTAAACAGAGTATTTCACAAGTTCTCTATGAACTGTGGGAAGAAAGATGAGGATTTTTTGTTGTTGTTCTTAGCGAGTCTCCTGTCCATCAACTTAATTGGGCAACCATAAGTTTCTCATGTTATGGAAGAGAGAAACAAATTCCTCTCCATCCATTTCCTCCACTTTACAGTGGATTGCTTGTTTGCTGCAAGTGAAACCAAGGTTTTTGTTTGAGGGGTTATCGAGGGTTAGCCCCAAGCGGGCTTTCCTCTCTTTCTCATTTCAAGCAACAGCTCCTGATTTATTTATTCAAGAAATAATCGAGAAAAAGAAGAAATGTGCAGTATCTGCAAAAAAAAATGCAATTTTAATATAATACATTATGAGGACTGTATATTCTGATAAAGGGCTGTTATCATTCCACCAGCAGGCAGAATAACCCAAGAGAACTCCGAGCCTCTGTAGATGCTTTGTGTTCTGTATTGCCCGACCTAATTTTGCTTTTCTTCCCCCCCACCAGAGTTATTAGCAGAGCACCGGGGCTGAAACTCGTAGTAGAAACGCTGATATCCTCCCTCCGGCCTATTGGCAACATCGTGCTCATTTGTTGTGCATTTTTCATCATTTTCGGCATTTTGGGAGTGCAGGTAATGTTCTTGCATGTTGTCCCATTCCGCTACACGAGAACATCAGAGGATCCCTAGTTCAAAAATACAGTCTCTTGTTTCCTTGACTAGCTAATCCATAAGGCCCATAAGGATGAGATGGTTAGAGAGTGTTATCGAGGCAACGAACATTAAATTAAGCAAACTCTGGAGCATGACAGAAGACAGGAGGGCCTGGCATGAAGCGGACCATGGGGTTGCGAAGAGTCAGACACGACTGTGCGACTGAACAAAAACAAGGCCCATAAGCAGGGACAATGAAGTCCTCTGTTTCTACCCTCTTTCACAACGAACTGTATTCCCTGGTATATTTCCTGTCTAGTAGCCATTGATAGACCTATCCTCCCTGTCTTATCCTCTTGTATATCTTGCATGGGGTTGCCAACTCCAGATCGGGGAATTCCGGGATATTTTGGGGGTAGAACCTGGAAAGGGTGGAATTTGGGGAGGGGAGGGAGTTCAGCCAGGATGCAATGCCACGCAGTCTCCCCTCTCCATAGCTACCATCTCATCAGTGTGGTCTGGAGAGCAGTTGTCATTCTGGGGAAATTCCGAGCCCCATCTGGAGGCTGGCAACCCTCATTCCTGAGGCAGTGAGTTCCACAGGCCAACCGGACATTCTGTTTTGTTTGTCCTGAATAAACCGTGTGTCGCCTTCACTGGGTGCTCCTGAGTTCCTCGCATTATGGGAGATGGGGAAAACGAAGTTACTGTCTGCTTGCTCTATCCCGCGCATAATTTTATATGGCCTCTGTCTGTCCCTCCCTTAGTTGCCCTTTATCTAGGCTAAGAAGTCCCAAATGCCTTTCCTCGTGGGGAAGATTCTCCATCACATCGATCATTTCAGTTGCCTCTTTGTATCTCTGTGTCAAAGAGCAGAATTGCACATTACCTGAGACGCAGAACTACCGCCAATAATGGTATCCTTGTGTCTCCTTCTTGTCCCATGATGTGTACTCATGACATGATATCATGGATCCGTGTGTTTTGCCTCCCTCTCTTCCCTGCTCCACGTTATTAGATGCTGCTAGAGAGCGTGAGGAAGGACATGGAGTGTCCTCCACAGAGTAGACATTATTAAAAACTCAGGAGGTATTGGAATTGGTCCCAAGGGTGCCATTTTTGGTGGCAGGTCCATGTCTTCAGCCAATGTGTGGTAACACCTAAGACCAACTGATAGGAGGAAGAGTGATTTGGGCCTTTGGCCTCCCCAATCTCGTTTGATCAGCATACCCCCACAATTTCATCCAGCGCAAGTTAGATCAAGGTAAAGAAAGAGAACCCAAAGTTCTTTCTGACTCTGGTTTTAACTTCCCCCTCCCCTTTTCAATCCAGCTATTCAAAGGCAAATTCTACTACTGCGAAGGGCCCGATATCCGGAACATCTCCACGAAAACGGACTGCAACAATGCCCACTACAAATGGGTCAGGCGGAAGTACAACTTTGACAATTTGGGGCAGGTAAAGATGAAGATTGACATGTTCTGGGCAGCATATTCTTCTTCTGTGGGAGGCGTGACTTGCTTGGTGTCGATCCGTGTCTTGCAAACAAAACTTACAATTCTCAGTCTTGTCCCTGTTTTCATGGGCAAGGAACACTTTCTGTGTTTTTGACTGAGTATGTATGTGTACTATTATAGCCAGTTAGGCATAGTGGTTAAGAGCGGTGGACTCTAATCTGGAGAATCGGGTTTGATTCCCCACTCCTCCACATGCAGCCAGCTGGGTGACCTTGGGTCAGTCACAAGTTCTTTCAGAGCTATTCTCTCAAGAGCAGTAGTCTCAGAGCCCTCTCAGCCCCACCTATCTCACAGGGCTTCTGTTCTGGGGAGAAGAAGAGAAGGACATTGTGAGCCACTCTGAAACTCTGGGTGAAGGCCAGAGTATAAATCCCACTTCTTCTTCTTTCTTCTTCTTCTAAAAAAAAAATCACACATTCTAAAAAAAAAAACAGTTGCAACTCCTCCACATGCAGAAGGTGGTGTCACAGACACTAGCCAATAAGTACCTGTCATCACTTGCTCGTCCCCATCATGATGGGAACCGTCTCCTCCCCAAGCTCCCTTTCATATATTTAAAAAATGCATGTTGGGGGGAGGGCAGCGATAGTGCTTTCAAATTTGAAATGTTAGGTCGGCCTTCACCTCAAAAATCATAAGAACATAAGAGAACATAAGAACAATGTTGGATCAGGCCAAAGGCCCATCCAGCCCAACACTCTGGGTGCGTTCTGATGCGGCGTTTCAGCCGGCATAAACTGTACCGGTTGGAACCGGTGCAGTTTATGCCGGCTGAAACCCGATCACATTTACCTCCATTTTGCGGCTCCCATCAGTGTATGCCCGCTCACATGCTGCGGGCGTCGGCGTTTGTTTTTTTTAAAACACAGTTTGAGCATGCGCATAGGCAGCCATTCACAGAATGGCGATCTTTGCGCATGCTCAAAACACCCCACATTACATTTAAATTTTAAAGGTAAGGACTTACTTTTAAAGTTTAAAGACCAAACTGGCCTCCCTGAAGTCCGGGACTCCTCCGGATAGTTAAAGTAAGGGCTTTTTTTTTTTTTTTATCGAAAGCAACCGTTCCACTCAGTATACCACCACTTGGGGACCTAGTGGCAGAGTGCAACGGTTTAAAGGGATTTACAACGGTTAGGGACGGGAGGCAGATGTTCGCCGTCTGAACGCCGGTAAGTACACCGGTTGGAACCGGCACCTATACCGTTGTAAATCCCCCGTCTGAATACACCCTCTGTGTCACACAGTGGCCAGAAATACCAGGGGCCATCAGGAGGTCCAGCAGTGGGGCCAGGACATTAGAAGCCCTCCCACTGTTGACCCCCCCCCCCAAGCACCCAGAAGACAGAGCATCACTTGCCCCAGAGCCCCTATCTATACCTTGTGGCTAATAACCACTAATGGACCTCTGCTCCGTATGCTTATCTAATTCCCTTTTGAAGCCGTCCCTGCTTGTAGCTGCCACCACCTCCTGTGGCAGTGAATTCCATGTGTTAATCACTCTTTGGGTGAAGAAGTACTTCCTTTTATCCGTTCTAACCCGACCGCTCAGCAATTTCATGGAGTGCCCACGAGTTCCTGCATTATGAGAAAGGGAGAAAAGTACCTCTTTCTCTACCTGCTCTTTCCCATGCATAATCTTATAAACCTCAATCATGTCACCCCTCAGTCGTCGTTTCTCCAAGCTAAAGAGCCCTAAGCGCATCCATTCTCATCCTTTCGGTACACCCGACTTGGGATGGCCCTGAGCAGAGCGAGCCAGCGCCAGTTTCCAAGCCTGCAGCCTGGGTTTCCTCTCTGCGGCCAGCAGCAGCAGCTTCTAGTCTTCCATCCCCAGTCTCATCTCCAGCTCTCCTTCCCCCTTCCTCTCTGTTCCTCGAGTCCGCCTGCCGCTTCCGCTCGTCAGTCCCAAAGGGACCTCTCTTTTGCATGCTGATCGGAGAGCGGGCCAGGAAAGAGCGGCTGCGCCAAGCCCTGGGGCCAGCGAGGAAAATTGGAACTGGCGGCCGAGAGCAGAGAGCAGGTTTGCAGAGCAGTTCGGCTGGGACCGGAGCGAGGCAGGAAGCGGGTTGTGATGGCGGCCCCGCTGGTAACTTGGCACTAATCGGGGGGGGGGGCGTGCTGGAGCCACGACCCTTATTTCAAGAAGGCTGGCGAAACAGGACCGCAAAGACAGCAAAGCGGGATTTGGCTGCCTGCGTAGAAAACACGAATGAAGATTAACTGACAGGCACCGGGTGGGGGGTGTCTCTGTAGTGTCAGGGTTTAATTTGAGTCAAGACCCAAACCCCAGTCACAATGCTGGGACACCCCCCCCCCCAAAGGAGTGCACAGAGCCATCAGTACAGTTTGGTGTAGTGGTTAAGTGCAGGGACTCTAATCTGGGAGAACCTGGAGAACCTGCTGGATGACCTTGGGCAAGCCGTAGTTCTGGCACAGCTGTTCTTGAAAAAGAGCAGTTTCTGTCAAAGCTCTCTCAGCCCCGCCGACCTCACAGGGTGTCTGTTGTGGGGAGGGGAAGGGAAAGGAGGTTGTCACTTGCTCTGAGACTCCTTCGGGTAGTGAAGGGCGGGGTATAAATCCAATCTCTTCTCTTCTTCTTCTTCTATACCTGAGTATGTGCAGAGTGCATATCCAGTCCTCATGCAATCCAAGAATAGGGGGCGATCCAAAACCAACAGTCATGGGCTGGGGTGAGTCCCAAAACCTCTCCTGCAAGCAGCACCACATGGAATTATATAGAACAAGAAGAACGGAAGAGATTGGATTTATACCCTGCCCTTCACTCAGCGTCTCAGAGCGGCTTACAAACGCCTTTCCCTTCCCCTCCCCACAACAGACACCCTGTGAGGTAGGCAGGGCTGAGAGAGCTCTCTTGAGAACTGCTCTTGAGAGAACAGCCCTGAGAGAAATATGGCTTGCCCACGGTCATCCAGCAGCTGCAAGCGGAGGAGTGGGGAATCAAACCCGGTTCTCCCAGATTAGACTCCATGCTCCTAACCACTATACCAAACTTGTGAGTCCCAAAACCTTTCCTGCAAGCAGTACCACGTGGAGTTATATAGCGAGTTCAGTGTGCGCTAACAACAGGATGAGTTTTGTTCAAATTCACCGTTCTTGTGAATGTTTTGCCCTGTGGTTTGTCGGATTCTAGTTTAAAGCAGGGAGCCCTGCCACCCACCAACACCTTCCCTAACGCCTGCCAAGTATTTTTAAGAAGTAGACGAATCCAAGTGGGGCTTTTGCCCAGTCAGACTTTTCTCCCTTTTTTTCCAATTACTTTTTAATTGAAATTTTGTAACCACCACAAAAATATTACAAAACTAATGCAAAAGTACACAGCAAAATTATGCCGCTCATATAGTACAACTGAAAATCAAGAAATTAGTATGTATGCGATCCAGAGATTGGTTTAAAAAAAAAAAAACCCAAATCACATCAAGAAGGTTGAGATACAGAACTTAATGGCCAACACATAAGTTTTACCACAAACAAAGGTCATCAATTACTTTGGGAATTTCCTGTTGTTAGATATTCTAAGATCGGGGACCAGGTGGAAGTAAAATTAGAGGGTGAAGAATACTTGTCAAAGTGCGCAGGATTATCCGTAAGGTTAGCCATGATATATAAATCCCACGTCTTTTTACGCCAGTGTGAAAGTGTGTGTGTCATTGTCATTTCCCAATTTGTGGCAATGCCAGGTTTAGCAGCAAAGAGCAAAAGAGAGATCCTTTCCATGTTAGAAGAAGAACAACCCGTCGAAGCCCATCCATTTAAAAATTTTCCGGTGTAAGAGGGATATCTAGATGTGTGATGGATTTGATCCGTTCCAGTACTGATTCCCAAAAGGGAGTAATTTTGGGACAGTTGACCCAACAGTGCAAGTAGTTCCCAATGCCCACCAAGACTTCTGATTGGCCATTGGAGATATGATTGGCTGTGCAGATTTGTAACAAACGTTGCTTCGGCAGCAGCTGCCACCACAGCATGAGGATCTTCACTGTGTGTCTGAAGGGAAGCCGCGGCAGCCATTTTGTGGCTGCACCCACCACACTGCACCAGAATTCCAAAGGTGCCCACAGGGTCAAAAAGCTTGGCGGCCCTGCTCTAACCACTAGACAACACTGGCTTTCAGTTGTTCGGATGCTATTTATTCTGAATCGTAGATCTCATTTATATACATTATCTCTTCTGGTTTGTTTGGGTTTGTGTGTCGGTTACAGGTTTATCCTCCCCTTTTTTTGTGTGGACATCAGTTTGGATGACTGTCAGGGCTTTTTGCTTCCGCAGGCCCTGATGTCTTTGTTTGTTCTGTCCTCCAAAGATGGCTGGGTGAACATCATGTACGACGGCTTGGATGCGGTGGGCATCGACCAGCAGGTAGAAGCTAAAGCTCACATAAGTTTCCTTGGGGGAGGAGTTTAAGGGCTTGTTCACAAACACACGTCCATCCTTTGATGACAAACAACATGGCGTGGCTCCATTGGGAAGCCTTGCATTTGAGGGGGGGTGAATATTCAGCAGGGCCTGCAAAACAGAGTTGTTCCGTCAGCCAGTTTGGTGTTGTGGTTGGGAGCGCGGACTCTAATCTGGGAGAACCGGGTTTGAGTCCCCACTCCTCCTCCACATGCAGCTGCTGGTGTGACCGTGGGTCAATCATAAGTTCTTTTAGAGCTGTTCTCTCAAGGGCAGTTTCTGTCAGAGCTCTCTCAGCCCCACCTACCTCACAGGGTGTCTGTTGTGGGGAGGGGAAGGGAAAGGAGTTTGTAAGCCGCTTTGAGACTCCCTTGGGTAGTGAAGGGCGGGGTATAAATCCAGTCTCTTCTCATTTTAACCTGTGACACTTGCATCTGCAGCAGCTCTCGGGCCTTGAGTTCAAAACCCCTGTTGTGTTTTCACCACATGGCTAGGCTCCGCCGTGCCCTCTCCGATTCATCCCCCTTTCTTCTCTGTCTATTCCCGCTCCCCTTCCACCTCCGTCGCCAGCCCAGCCAGAACCACAACCCGTGGATGCTGCTCTACTTCATCTCCTTCCTCCTGATCGTCAGCTTCTTTGTGCTCAACATGTTCGTCGGGGTGGTGGTGGAGAACTTCCACAAGTGCCGGCAGCACCAGGAGGCCGAGGAGGCCCGCCGGCGGGAGGAGAAACGCCTGCGTCGGCTGGAGAAAAAGCGTAGGAGTAAGGAGATATACATGTCTGGTCGGTAGACGGTGGTACCATTCACAATCTTTCTGAGCCTTGCCTGCTTCCAAAGCGAGAAATTTATTTTGGGTTATTCTTGTCGCTTTCTTTTTCGGTTTGCTATGGTCTTAAACGGGGGGGGGGGAAGGAGATTTTTGTTTTCTCGAACCTTTTGGAGATGCTTTAAGAGTCAGAGGCAAGGGGTTTTTTTCCCACCGGCTCCTACTGTGGACTTGGCTGAAGGGATGCGGGGCAAGTATCAAGGTGTTTCAACACCGGGGTATCCAGTGTAGGCTAAAGTATGGGGAGCAGCAGCTTCAATGTCTTAAAAAGAATTCGGCAAGCGAAATTTCAGCTTAAATAGGTTGTGGAATCTGGAATGTTCAAGAGAAAAGTTTGATGGCTGCGTTACTTAAGAGAGAGGTTAGACATCCTATCTGAAGGGTACTGATCCACATCTGCACTGAAATCCTTATAGTTTAGTTTAGTTCTATCCATTTCCTACTAGCAGGACTCAATGGGTGCATTCAGACGGGGGCTTTATACCGGTTAGGGTGCTGGTTCCAACCGTTGTACTCACCGGCGTTCAGACGGGGCACATCTGCCTTCTCTCCCTAACCGGTGTAAAGCCCTTTAAACCGTTGCACTCTGCTACCAGGTCCCCAAGTGGTGGTATACAGAGTGCAACGGTTGTAAACGGTGCACCCCGGCGTCTGAGCGCTCTCCACCATTCCCCAGCTACTTCCGTTGGAAGCCTGAGGCTTCTGACTTTCCCCGGCCATTTTTAAAAAAAACTTAGCGATATGCGCTTGGGTGAAGCTTCGCCCTGAGTGTTTGTTAAAAAAAAAAAAAAAAAAAAGCCCTTACTTTAAGTACCCGGAGGAGTCCGGGACTACAGGGAGGCCAGGTTGGGCTTTAAACTTTAAAGGTAAGTCCTTAACTTTAAAGTTTAAATGTAATGGGGGGGGTTTGAGCATGCGCAAAGATCGCCATTCTGTGAATGGCTGCCTATGCGCATGCTCAAACTGTGCTTAAAAAAAAAAAACGCCGACGCCCGCAGCTTGTGAGCGGGCGTCCAACGGAGGGATCCGGAAGATGGAGGTAAGTGTGATCGCGTTTCTGCCGGCATAAACACCCTGTCTGAACGCACCCATAGTGACGTACAACATGTGATATCCATTAAAATAATAATAAATACAACAATAAAACACAGATAATCCAATTAAAATTAGATGCCGTTATATGTCTATCCCACAGTTAACTAGGATGGCTGACATACAATCCATGTTGCATTCATAGGGGAGGGGGGTCCTTAAAACAGGAGAGAGTGGGAAATGGGGGGCAGAAAAACCCGGGAGGCCACTGATCTCTCTAACCATCGCTGTCCTCAACCATATGCCTGGTGGAACATCTTGGTCTTGCAGGCCCTGCAAAACTCAGCCAAGCCCCGCAGGGCCTGGATCTCACTGGGGAGAGAGTTTCGCCAGGCTGGAGCCAAGGCCAAAAAAGCCCCGGCCCTGGTCAAGGACAGCCAGACCATTTTGGGATGAGGGACTAACAGCAAGTTGGTACCAGTTGAGCGTAATGCTCTCTGAGGGGCATATAGGAAGAAGTGGTCCCACGGGTCCCCCAATTTAACTCCAGTTTTGCTAAGGGGTCTAGGGAAATCTCAGCACCCTGCAGTTTCTTGCTTCGAAGAACCCCAAACTATTGAAATGGTCCGAGAGGGTAGCGGAGGTGGGCTGCCAGTCCAGTAGCACTGTAGACACCAGCAAATTGTTCGAGGTGTAAGCTTTTGAGAGTCAATGCTTGTTAGTCTCTAAGATGCTACCGGACTCTGATCTGGCTATTAAAATGGTAAATATGTAGGTTACAGTGGTGTGGCGAATGTACTGATGAAGTCTTTAACACAATGAATACTAGACCCTCAGAATAATCTGACAGTACAAGGGCGCAGTTCGAGCGGTAGGGCCACGACTCAGCCATCCAACACAGTCGTAGGATTTTAAGTTAAGCTGTTGAAGATAGAAGGTATTGAGAAGGGTCTTTGGCTGCCTGAGATCCTGACCCAGAGCGCTTCCACCAGTCAGAAGAGATGATGCTGATATCCAAGAGCCTGACTCAGAACACAGCAGCTTCCCAGAAGCTCAAGTTCATCTAAGCTAAGCCTTGAGCAGAACGTGGATGATAGGCCAGCAAGACCCTTTTCAAACGACTCCAAGTTTCTTGGAGGAAGAGCAGGGTTTCAAATTAACTAAGAAACCACTGGAAACCACTAGAGAAGATCTAAATAGCCTGTGTTTTAGATGAATCCAGAAGACATGATTGAAAGGACAGAAGCTGTGATTGTCCGGGTTAAGTGCTGATAGACTCGTTCAGGGATAGTTGAGGCCACCCCCCCCCAATAGCCCAGTAGGAGCCCAATGAACAGCCAATGGGCTCCCCAAACAGAGGCCCGTGACCCCTATTTTTCTTATGTATGAAGATGGTTCCCAATGGTGCAGTTCTGTACCCTGGGACTTAAAGCATCGCCAACATTTTGAAAGATACGGTGATGGGGTCTTTATTATACTTTTCTTTTCAAATCAGAGATTCAATAGTGGTCTCTTTTTTTAAGAAAAAAGGATCTTGGCGCATGGCCCCCTGCATGTCTTGCAGTTGCTGCATGAAGAAAAACTACAGCATGGGAGGAGTGGGGTGCTCCCATTTGGGGGGCTAACGGGGAACGTATCCATAGGGAAAGTGTCTATTAGAAGAGATGCATATTCAGCCCATGCCATAGGGAATCTTTCGATCCTGGGCCCTGCAAAACGGTCTCTAAAAGATCTTTCAGGCTGAATCGGTATGGCAACCAAATCCCACTTTGACAACCCATTTTATTTACGATCATTGTTTTCACTGTTTTAACAGTGGCACTGAACACAGACTCAGATAAGATCTGCTCCCTGCCTATCAAGCTTATGTTCAACACAGCACTCGAAGGAAAATGGACAAAGAGGAGGGGATTCGGGGTGGGAGGAACATTTGATAAAGCAACTCAAGATGAGGACAAGGGAATGCAAAAATGAGAGGGGTGTCAAGTGCCTGTGGCCAGTTATGATACACGGCTGGCTGGCTGCACATGACTTTGAAAGACCATGAGCGGGACATGCCCCTAGGGATTCTTGCAGCAACCTCTAAGCTAGGTCAATTTCATTATCCCCAAATTTGGGGGGCTTCCTGAAAACCCCAAAGTCAGATGGGGATGTTAAAATAGCAAGCTAAGCCAAGGGGTACTGGCAGCTCAGCCCCGAGCCATGGAGAAGATGGTAACTGGCATAGTCTCTCACACTGGGTAAGCCTCTGCTCGTTGCTATCATTGCTGCAGCTCCTGCGGTGTTACCAGGAATGAAAAGGGTCACTTGGCTTCCAATTGCCCTCTGAAACAATGGCCCACTGGGAATTTTTCTGCTAAGTTAATTGGCCAGTCCATCCTTCCCTAAACCCACTTTGCAATTCTGTGGCCCCTGTGTAGTTTGACTGAGGGACTCCCCCATTTATGGGGATACCCAGGTATATTTAGAATCCCCAACTGTGTAACAGACATCTTGAGATTATATTGGCATATTGTGGCTTCTCAAAAACAGATGTTATGGGGGGGGTCTGGTGGGAGAGGGGGAGACCCACACAGCCTCGTGGATTATGACCCTTAGCAGTTATCCTGCAGCAGATAAACTCAGACACCCTTGTCTGATGGACAACCCAATGGGTATTGCAGCTGTAACTCAGCAAGAGTTCAAGAGACCTCCTTGGGGGTCATCTGTGCTGTGCTGTAGACTTCTAGGGGACTAAAGTTAAAAGTAGTTAAAGCAGCTGCTGGGGGAGAATTGACATGGATCGGGCAGTGGCACTGGAGCACCAACTGGTGATCCCCAGCATCACGTGGTGCGGCCCTCAAACTGGCTTAAAAATGTTCCCTCGCTTCAACAAACCTCTGTGAAACTGCAGTTTGGAGAGACTAGCTATCCTCAGTCTTCAGTTCCCAGGATTCCTGAGGAGGAGCGGATAACTACGATAGGGTAAAAACAAAATAAATGGCCAGTAAAGATGAGCCCTTGATGCATTGCCTTTGAGTCCCGTGGGAATGCTTTTTCTCGTGGACTTTGAGAGTGAGAATATAGGCTAGCCTGCCTGCATGTCTTCTCCCTGGTCACAGTCTCCCAGACCTTTTCCTGACAGCATCCAAGTTGACGCAAAGCTCGGTCTTTTCTCCCTGGGGACCAGTGTCTCAAGGCAGCTGCAGGGATGAGTTCAGGAAGGTGAGAGCCCCATGGGTGTGGGGTGACCCTGAGGTCTATTGTAGTAGGAACAACAAAAGACCAAAATTATATCCTGGCATTGAAGTCGAATAATTGGGAGGTGGGATTATTCCAATTATCTCTTTCAGGAAGGGTTTTTACCAAAAAAAAATGTGGTTTCTTCGGTTCTCTTAGAAATCAGCTTTAAAAAGGCAGACTCAGAAAGATATGAAACATGGCTGATTCTCTGTGGCTTCCTTGTGGTGGGCCTGTGGGTGTGCATGTGTGTCAGGGGCAAGCCATGGGCAAGTCTCGTGTCTGTGAGTTGCCATGGGAGGACGTGAATTGGGTTCCAGGGTGCCACTTGTGGGATGTCTCACGTTGTTCTCTGGATGGAGGAAGAGGGAAATGATGGGGCATTGGCAGAAAAGATATTCTGGGTGAAACCAGTGGAATGGAGTTGAAGGAGGTGGTTGAGCGGGGAAAACAGCTGTCTGTCCCTACTTCTGGGCAGGATGACTGGATGGGTGAGTGGGTGGGTGGTTGGCTATTCCCGCTTCCTTCCAGGGAGCTGTTACCATTTCCGTTGACCCATTACTGGGGAGAAGTGGTTGGCTAATCCAGCTTCATTCTGGGGAGCAGTTCCAGGGGAAAACATCTGGCAGTTCCCACTTCCGTGGACCTGTTCCTGGGGAGAAGTGGTTGGCAGTTCCCATTTCC